AAAAAAAAAAAAAAAAAAAAAAGAGAAACCCCATGTCTACTAAAAATACAAAATTTGCTGGGTGGGGTGGCACAGCCGTGTAATCCCAGCTGCTAAGGCAGGAAAATTGCAGGAACCCAGGAGGTGGAGGTTGCGGTGAGCCGAGATTGTGTCATTGCACTCCAGCCTGGGCAACAAGAGCAAAACTCCATCTCTCTCTCTCTCTCTCACACACACACAACTTTATTTTAAAAAATTAATGTTTATTTAAAAAAATTAATGTATACTTAAAAATCACATCTTAGTTTATCTTGGCTTCTTTTAAAAATGGTATTTTTATTCTACTTAACCAGTGATGAACATTTATGAAGAATTAAAGGAAAAAAAAAATACCAACCCAGGTACTGAACCACAACCTCTAGAGGGTATAAGTGTATATATTTCTTTACAATTTTTTTTGTAGAGACATTGGTCTCGCTATGTTGCCCAGGCTGGTCTCAAGCAATCCTCCTGCCTTAGCCTCTCAAAGCACTGAGATTACAAGCATGAGCCATTGTGCCTGGCTGCGGTACGTATATTTCTAAAAAGCTGATCTGTGTGAGACCATCCTGGCCAATATGGTGAAACCCCATCTCTACTAAAAATATAAAAATCAGCTGGTCATGGTGGTGCGTGCCTGTAGTCCCAGCTACTCGGGAGGCTGAGGCAGAATAATCACTCAAACCCGGGAGGTGGAGGTTGTGCATGTGTTTGTTTAAGAGACATTGCTACAAAATTGATCCTTTCTTCATACATGTGCTTATCACTTACTACATGTCAGCTAAGGGAGGGAGATACACAGGCTAATCCCAGTGCAGCTGAATGGATGCTGCCATGTAGAAGCACAGACAGTAAAAGTCCTGGGGTACAGAGGAGGGGAACACTGTCCAGGATGGGTCTAACGTAATACAACTCAAAACTACAGGGTTACAAAGACATTCTGATCTCCAATCTACTCATAAATTCATCCTTTCCACTGCACAATTGACAATCTGCACAATCAAAGGTAACATTAATTAGTAGAAAAAAAAATTTTTGAGACAGTTTCACTCTTGTTGCCCAGGCTGAAATGCAATGGTTTGATCTTGGCTCACTGCAACCTCCGCCTCCCAGGTTCAAGCAATTCTCCTGCATCAGCCTCCTGAGCTGGGATTACAGGTACCTGCCATGACACCTAGTTAATTTCTGTATTTTTTAGTAGAGACGGGGTTTCACCATACTGACCAGGCTGGTCTCAAACTCCTGACCTCAGGCGAGCCATCCGCCTCGGCCTCCCCAAGTGCTGGGGTTACAGGCGTGAGCCACTGTGCCCGGCCGAGTATGAAATTTTTCAAACCTCCTAAGTGACAGCTGTTCATGTGGAAAGGGTAAGGAGGTTATCCTGCTGACATTAATGGTTTAAAGGGTCACATTATGCAATCACAGCTAATCCTATCTATCAAGACAAAGTTTCAGTTCATGCTTTTCTGAGCTTTTTTATTTTTTTTTTCTTCAAGATGGGGTTTCACCATGTTGGTCAGGCTGGTCTTGAACTCCCGACCTCAGGTGATCCACCCGCCTTGGCCTACAAAGTGCCTGGATTACAGGCGTGAGCCACTGCGCCCAGCTGCTTTTCTTAGCTTTCTAAGTATTCAAACACAGTAGCTTTAAGCAATGCCTAATTATTAATGTAGGGGAAATTAGTAATTGAAAAGTATTTTTAAAGATGCTTTTTGGTGAGACTGCACATTCAAATAAACATTTTAAATACCTTTAAATAAAAGTTGTTAAAGGGCTTTTTTTAAAAGTTAGATTTTGACCAGGCACAGTGGCTCATGCCTATAATCCCAGTACTTTGGGAGGCACGAGGTCAGGAGTTCCAGACCAGCCTAGCCAGCATGGTGAAACCCTGCCTCTACTAAAAATACAAAAAATTAGCTGGGCATGGTGGCATGCACCTGTAGTCCCAGCTACTAGGGAGGCTGAGGCAGGAGAACTGCTTAAACCCAGGAGGCAGAGGTTGCAGAGAACCCAGAGGAGAGGTGAAAACAATTAAAAGAACCACCAAAAAATGGGGCCAGGTGCGGTGGCTCACGCCTGTAATCCCAGCACTTTGGGAGGCCAAAGTGGGTAGATCACAAGGTCAGGTGTTTGAGACCAGCCTGACTAACATGGTGAAACTCCGTCTCTACTAAAAATACAGAAATTGGCCAGGCATGGTGGCTCAAGGCTATAATCCCAGTTTCTCAGGAGGAAGAAGAATCGCTGGAACCCAGGAGGCAGAGGGTGCAGTGTGCCAAGATCGCGCCACTGCACTCCAGCTTGGGGGCCAGAGCGAGACTCCATCTCAAACAAACAAAGTTGGATTTAGATATAAAACTCAAAAGACATAATGAAACAGACCTTAGAAGGCTAATTACACGAACAATATTCCAATACACCTATCACAATATTAGGGAGTCATGGATTTTTCTCATTTTTAAAGTGAGTTTTTAAAACATGAAACAAAACATCAAAGTCATGAGGCTTGTGAGCATCTGTAACAGAACAATGCAGTTGTTGTGACATGACAAAACTTGTTTCAGTTACTCCTCTCATTAACTACACCTGACTGTCACAGGACCTGAGCAAGGCTTCAGGCTTACTATTGGAGTAAGTTCACCTCTGTGGCTATCCACGCAGTTCAAAGAATTCATTTCACACAACGACCGAAACAAAAAAGGGAAACCAAAATCCATTCACTCACATAACAGAGTTTTACAGTTGGATGGGACTAATGAAGGATTTAAAGAAGGCAGGTGTGTAGGGAGCGTATTTCTGTAACTACTTAACTCGCATACACTCCCCCAGCTTAATTCTACATCACCTTTCAGATACTGCCACTTAAGATAATCTTCCCACATTACTAGGAGGGATTGAGAAAACAGCGTCCTGGGGGTTTGGGGGCGGGACAGGGGGAGGCCCTAGGGACTCTCTTAAAGAGACAGTGCACATCCTGTTATTAAGACAATAAATGAGAACGAAATTCACTAGTCAATTCAATATGGAGCACCGACTGCCCGTCTGTCTGAGCTCTATAAACTGGCAGAAGAGAACACTGCTTCCCCACGTGTTCCCGGGTCTCGCATTTCGGCTTACAGGAACAGCGCTCTTTACTTACTAGAAATGAACATTGCCACTGTGAGCCTGATGCCAGCTTTCCCTCATCTTGTCTGCCATGGAATTTCGTAAAATCGCAAAGATAACTTTAAAAATTATTTTGACTTAAAGGTGAATTCACAGTAACATGCACACACACGCAGCTCCACACCGCTGAGAGAGGAGAAAGGTTCAAGTACAAAGGTGGGGAATGCTCGCGCTGGCCTCTCCCCGCCCTGGGTGAAATCCAAGTCGGGCAGTGCTCGATTCTAGGTCCCCGCCCGGGGGCTGAGACCACTCACGTCCCTGCCGCCTTCGGCGGCGCAGCCCCGTCTAGATCCCACCGCCTCCCCTGGCCGGAAACCAGACGACCAGACCACAGCTGTCCTGAAAGCACCAGACGCCGACCAAGCCCTCGAAGTTCCCTTCGGACACAACCCCGGGGAAAAACCGGGTTCAGGGACTCAAACCCGAGAGGAGCCAGCTCCCGCGACGGGACCTCCTGGTCCCCCAAGCACCTGCCACTGGGCTCTGCGACCCTACGGCGCCGGGAAGACCCGCCCGCGGCAGAGCGGGCCGGGGCTGGGAGCAGCGGTGCGGGGCCACCCGCGGGACAGCGACCCGGCAGCCCCCCTGCCCCCCAGACCCAGGGGCCGCGTCTCCGCCCGGTCCCGCCGCCCCCAGGCCCCGCCACGACCCCCTCACCGAGCAGCAGCAGCAGGGGCCGCCGGGCGCTGCCGGGGGCCGCCATGGCGCGGGGCGGCCGGGGCCGGTGGTGCGTGGGGCCGGGGCGCGGGAGGCGGTTGGGCCGCGGGAAAGCCGGGCGCGGGGGCGGCGGGGCGCGGGCGCCAAGGGCGGGCGTGAGAGGCGGCGGCGTTCCCGGACGCGAGAGGCCGGGCCACCGCGACTCCGGCACGAAGGAGACGCCGCGGCCAGCAGCGCCCGTCACGTGAGCGGCGCCGCGCCCTGACGTCACGTGACCCCGCGGGTCTCGCGAGAGCGCGCGCGTCGGGCGGTGGCGGCTCCGCTCCCCGCAGGTGCGGCCGCTCCCAGCACCGCACCGTGGTGCGCGTGATAGAGGCGGGCACGTGACCCGCGGCAGCACGTGACCCCGGACCCACGTGACCCGGCCGGCCCCCGCGGCCCCAGGGCGACCCGGGGCCCGAAAGGGGAAGCGCGCTGAGCTCAGGGGAAAGGGAGAGGAAGAGTCGTGGCTGGAGAAAGTGGGGAGAGAGGAAGCGCGCGCGGGGAAGGGCGGGCGGAGCGCGGACGCCCAGGCTTCTCGTCACCCCGCGAGGCCGGAGCCGCCGCGTCCCAGCCGTGGGCGTCCTCACGGGCCGGAGGGTCGCCGGGGTGGCCGCGCGGGTGACCGGCCGGGTGCGCAGCCAGGGCGGGCGGACGGTCACCCAGGGAGGCCGCTGTGCCCCGACCCCTGAGTGGTTTCAGGAAGAAAGGAAGGGATTTGCAGTCAGGGCAGGGCGGCTTTCCACTCGTGAATCGCAGGCTGAGGGACGAGGCCGCCGGCCTGCCCCAGGTGAGGGTGAAGGTGATGGCGATGCTGGCAGGCTTCGATGCATTTCCTGTCGAGCACTCTTTTTTCATTTTTGAGACGGCGTCTCGCTCGTTTTGCCCAGGCTGGAGTGCATGGTGCGATCTCGGCTCACTGCAACCTGCACCTCCCGGGTTCAAGCGATTCTCCTGCCTCAGCCTCCCGAGTAACTGGGATTACAGCGCGCGCCACGACGCCCCGCTGGTTCTGTATTTTAGTAGACACGGGGTTTCTCCCTGTTGGCCAGGCCGGTCTCGAACCCCTGACCTCAGATGATCCGTCCGCCTCGGCCTACCAAAGTGCTGGGATTACAGGCGCGAGACACCGCTCCCGGCCGAGCACTCTTATTGATAGAAGACCGCAAGGCTCAGTCCCGCCTGAGATTATTAAAGGTTTCCACGAGGAACACAATACTGAAACATTTTCCTCTTGTGAAGGAAACCGAAGTATTCTTCCCTAAAATACTGGGGATTGTTGAGCAAGAAAAGATTTTAAAACACAGGGCACACCCTGCCTGCCTGTATCCCCTGAAGGTGGGCCCCTTTACTACACTTCCTTACCCGCTCAGCGGCAGTGAGGGCAGACTTTCGTCTTGTGTAAGTCTGCTTTCCTGCGTTTTTCTTATTTTTAAATACAGAGTTTCCAGATGAGAATTCTTACTACCTGATGTTAAGAAAAATAAATAAATAAACAAATGAATACAGAGTCTCACTTTCTTGCCCAGGCTGGAGTGCAGTGGCGTGATCTCGGCTCACTGCAGCCTCCGCCTTCCAGGTTCAAACGATTCTCCTGCTTCAGCCTCCCGAGTGTTGGGGTTACAGGCATGAGCCACCACGGCATGCTAATTTTTGTGTTTGTAGTAGAGATGGTGTTTCACCCCATTGGTCAGGCTTGTGTCGAATTTCTGACCTCTAGCAGTTCACCTGCCTGGGCCTCCCAAAGTGCTGGGATTACAGACATGAACCACCGTGCCCAACTCCTGCATTTTGGAAGTCTGAAGATGCTATGTTTTTTTGACTTCTCACCAATAGAATTTATGGCTTTATGTTAAAATACTATTTAAGCAAGTCACCTTAACTACTGCCTTGTATAAAGCACCCTTCACATAAGTAACTACATCTTAGAAAAAGACTTCATCTTGGCCGCATAATCCCAGCGCTTTGGGAGGCCACCAAGGTGGGTGGATTGCGTGAGGTCAGGAATTTGAGACCAGCATGGCCAACGGGGTGAAACCCCATCTCTACTAAAAATACAAAAATTAGCGGGGCGTGATGGCGCACACCTGTAGTCCCAGCTACTTGGGAGGCTGAAGCAGGAGAATCCCTTGAACCCAGGCAGAGGTTGCAGTGAGCCGAGGCTGCACCATTACACTCCAGCCTGGTGACAGAGCGAGACTCGGTCTCAATAATAATAAAGACTTAATCTTACATTTCAAAAGGCATCATACCAACAGGGAGCAGATGTTTGCCTCATTAATAGAGACAGCATTCAATCAAAGAAAGACATAGCCAGGCACTCTATCACTCCTCACCAGAGAACTGTGGCCATGAAAAGGGCAGAACTTGACCAATCGGCACGGGCATTTTGATGGGCCCCATCTTGCTGTCACTTGTACTTAGCGCCCTGCATCTGCTGCCTAAGGATCTGCACATCAGAGACTTCCTTGGAAGAGGATGACTTCTGTCCGGATCAGGCCGGGATACACTGCTTCTCCCGTCATCGAGGCAACTCCATATAGCTCGTGGCTTTTGTGATTGAAATATCAATAGCCAGGCACGGTGGTTCACGCCTGTAATCCCAGCACTTTGGGAGGCTGAGGTTGGGAGTTTGAGACCAGCCTGACCAACATGGAGAAACTCCGTCTCTACTAAAAATACAAAATTAGCCTGGTATGGTGGCACATGCCTGTAATCCCAGCTACTTGGGAGGCTGAGGCAGGTGAATCTCTTGAACCCAGGAGGCAGAGTTTGCAGTGAGCCAAAATGGCGTCATTGCACTCCAGCCTGGGCAACAAGAGTGAAACTCATCTCTTAAAAAAAAGAGAGAGAGAAAGAAAGAAATAGCTTCGCCGGGCGCG